AATTGCAAAAACAGCGGAGCCTAACCTATTCGCAAGAGATGATAGATGGGGACTCCATTGGAGCTTTGAATCTACTGTGATTCCCAAGAATACAGCGGACTCAACAGTATTAAGGGTTACGCTATTCAATTTTAAGCTAAAACTTTGCCTTCTTACGCTGGGAAGCTTTTGAAGGAGGATTTTGTGATCCACGCAGTCGAAAGCTTTTGAAAGGTCGCAAAAAACACCTATTACATCGTGCGACCCTTCCCAGGCGTTATAAATATGTTTGACAAGTGCGATACCCGCATCTGTTGTCGATCTGCCTTTAGTGAATCCATATTGCTCATTGTGAAAAATTTTGTTCATATTAAAATGTACTAATATGGAGATAGGTCTGTAGTTTCCTGGATCATTTTTATCCCAACTTTTGAAGACGGGGATTATCTTACTAAATTTCATAAGATCTGGAAATATTCCAAAATCTATGCAGTTGTTAAAAATATTAGCTAAATGTGGTGCAATATATGCCATTATTGTGGTCATTAATTTTATGGACATGCCCCATAGATGTATTTTTAAGATTAATAGAATTCAAAACTTTTATAATATCATAAGTATCTACGTCATTAAATATATATGTGTGTGGACAATAGGTAAAATTATTTCTTAAAACGTTAATTGCATCTATGGGAGATGATTTTAATGTACAGGTGACATTAACTGCAATTTCTGAAAAATAGCTTTCGACACTACTTGCAATTTCATTATCTGATGTTATGGAAGTATTACCTATAACCAGTTTTATAGGTTCCCTGAATATCTTGGGTCTTCCAGATATACGGGTAATGATGTCCCATATGGCTTTAATTTTATTGTTTGAACTTATTATTCTATTTCTTATATGAATAGATTTTGCCTGAATACAGACTTTATTAAATATTTTTGAGAACATTTGTACCCTTTTATGAAAGTTGGGGTCATGATTCCACTGCCTCATATTATATAATTCATACAGTGAATCCCTACTTTTATATATACCCACTGTTGCCCAGTCACAGTCACTAAATTTTAATTTTGAATTTTTAACAAATGTGCGCGATTTAAATGTATCATTATGAGAAGATATGAGAAAGTCAACCATTGATTTATAAGAATCATTAGGGTTATTGACTCCTATATCTTTATTTATACATATAATGTGCCACTTTGTCTTTAAAAGAATTTATTCTATTAGTAGTGACTGGTCTACACTTGATCTTATGTTTGCTTGTATTAACTTTTTCATTTATTGAAAATTTTAGACCAAAGTGGTCAGAACTCAGATAATTTATAACATATTTATCATATACATTATCGTGGCAGAAAACGTTATCTATACATGTGGAGGATGAGTTAGTGACACGAGTTGGTTCATGAAAAAGATTTTTAAGTTTAAATGAACTAAATAAATTTAAAAGTCGTTTACTAAGATGTTTCACTTGTAATAAATCCACATTAAAATCTCCACAAACTATTACTGATTTATTACTTGAACAGAGTTTTTTAAGGACATCATCCATTACACACTCAAACAGATCGAAATCACCTGAGGGGGGTCACACGCATACTATAATATACTGTACAAAGTAACTATTAGGGAATAGGTTCGATCACAGGAGTCTTTATCACTATAACCAATCTCAAATAGCAAAAAAAACCGGCCAAGTGCAAGTCGGACTAACGCACGCAGAGTGCGGTACGTAGCACAAAAGTCTATGTGAATAAAGATATTTTGAATTTGAATTTGAAGGGTTCCGTACCATTATCTATAAAAACGGCAAAACAATCATGTCTGTTATATGGGAGCCCCACTTAAATATTTTTTATTCTGTTTTTTAGTATTTTTTGATATAGCGGCAACAGAAATACATGATCTGTGAAAATTTCAACTGTCTAACTATCACGGTTCATAGATACAGCCTGGTGACAGACGGACAGACATACAGCGGAGTCGTAGTAATAGGGTCCCGTTTGATCATTTGGGTACGGAACCCTAAAAACTTGTATGCATGTCAAATGCATAGGAATAATGTAGTGCCAATATACGTTCTTAGATAAAGAAATCCACGCAGATAAAGTCACGCAACAGCTAGTATAGCTGTTGCCCGTAACTTCGTCCATATGATAATATTAATTATAGTGAGTGCTACTTTAAGGTCCAACAGATGGCAGTGTTTATTCCCTGGCTAAATGGAGTATAGCCCGCAGCGTATATCAATATATGGTAACTAATAATTCGATTTAAGAAAAGTGTTTTAACCTTCAAGAAGAGAGCGTACTCATTCCTAAAAGGCCGGCAACGCATTTGTAAGCCCTCGGGTGTTGCAGATGTCCATGGGCGGCGGTGATCACTTACCATCAGGTGAGCCTCCTGCTCGTTTGCTGCTTTTTTTCCCATAAAAAAAAAAAAAAAAAAAAAAAAAACGTAACGTAAGCACGCGGGGATAACAGAACATCGTTTTATCGTTTTTTGAAAATTTCAAAGCATTCGGTATAGAAAATTTTGCGATAAACAAACCGCCATATCCTTTTTCCTCTTTTTGTTGAAAGCGAACGGTTAATATTTAAAGAAGTTAAACCCCCTATAAAATACAGATAATGAATAACACGATATCACTACTATAATCGACAAGTTTGTGACGATTACACAGTTTTTAATTCCTATTTTTGTCAGCCTGTACCTACAGTAATTTGACTCCCGCTAAAAGCGCGAAAGACGACATACTGTTACATCAGCCGACAATAAATGAAATGAAATTATTAATCTGAGGGAGGAATATCTGTCTCCTATAAGGCTTATTTCACACACACTCCAAAAAAAAAGATCCACACCAATTTGGAATGTTCGGGGGAATCAGCTTTTCTCATCTAAATATGATTTTTTTTATTGGGAATTGGGATACGTCCAGAAATCAGTCAAAAACTTCTATACCAATACGTTTTGTGAATGATCTTTTAACAAGTATACTGATCACAATTGCACATTTATTATATATACACATTTTCCTTAGTGAACACACCTTAAGATTGTCAAGATAACATGTTTATGTTTATGACCATAAGAGTTTATAAAGACAGGTTATCGATAAATTTAATTACTTGCTATTCGACATTGTTTAAAATAAAGTGAAGGATAAGGGAAAATGGCGTACGAGGGAAAACTTTACAAACATGTTCGCGATGAGAACTTCGAAGCCTTCGTCAAAAGTTTAAGTGAGTATAATAATTATAATTTACAGCGATATTTTAATTACTTCAGTAATTATTACTGCAAATAGTTTTTTTCTGACCATATGTTTTCCAAATAATCTGTCTATTTTTTATTTGATGTTCCACTTCTCTTTTAACACAATATGTTCAAGATTTGTTCTGTCAACTTTGACTCGACTCTTCTCACAACGTTTCCTTTTCGATTTGAATATTTAATTTTTATTTAGCATAAATTAAACACAGCGACTATTAAAAAAATATTAGTTACAAATTATTTAGCAATAAAAATATACTAATGACGGCAATCATAAACTAGGCAATAAAATGAAATAGTTCAAATGAAATAATAAAAATGAATTAATTTAAATATAACTAATTATAAAATAGATAGGAAGGAAATAAGAAGTGAAAAATTAACCATATATAAACGTGACTAAATTAATGTATACATTTTTTATTTTATGCATGCTATGGCATAGTTAAGTAACTATCCTATAGTTAATATATAATATCAGATATTTATTTGATTTATTAATAAAATTCCGAATGAAAAAGGTTGGTACGGCTAATTTAGAGTTCCCTAAACATTTAACCTTTTGATTGTAGTTAACAGCGATGTCGCCATGGTGACAGGAAAGAAAAAAAACAGTCCATGATAAGAAAACTATGCTATGTCATAAGGAATTACAGCTACAAGATTAATCGAAATTTTTTAAGACCACCGTGTTTATCGTGGATAGTATGTAAACATGTTAAATGTTATATTGACTGATTTTTTAATAAAAGTGAGTTATTATACACTACTAGAGAGTACTTTAAAGGTCGATTTTATAGTTATGGCAACAAGTTTTTGTGTGATGAATAATAATCATGGTTGAGTTATTTTAATAAATCCGATTTAAATATTTACGTGTGTCCAAAGTAGGCGTTATATTTATAATTACGAAGAAAACGCTGGCGTTTCGCCATGAAGGTACTCTGTCAAAGTTGGCTTTGATAAAACGGTAATAATTACCAGATGCCACTATTTTGAATAAGTTGACTAATCGAGTACTACTTCCATAATCACAAATTATATTTAAAATCAGGCTAAAATAAAGAAGATGAGAATATTGTTCATACAAGATATGAGAGTTATTTTAAGAACAACTT